AGACACAGTAATAGTTCATGGGCAGAAAGGACAGAGACATCACAACCTATCTGCAGAACTTGTCCAGCTTCTTGCCTAATCCTGTTTAACATGCATCTACTCAACAGCACATTATAATTGAGAGTCCTTGAATCAGAGCAGCACATATATAATGTATGTTTTGTGGGGTACTCTTGCTACATTTTAGTGGTTTCTACACTTAGGTCCATGATTGTAATTTAATCTGTGACCATATGTGCCAAAAGGTAACCAAGTGTCCTCCCGTCCCCAAAGCTGTTGTGGGAACAGAGCAGCAGAGGCTAAGTGACTAGTTTTCAGTATTTCCGATGTAGCTACCAAAGCTAGTTCTCCATTGCAGAAGGCAAATCATGTGATCCATGTAGACATCTACCTTCAGATTAAATTAACTCCATAATAGTGGGGTAGAATTAATCTCTAAATGAATGTAACTAAATTTAGGAGTCCAGATGTAGCTGAACAGATATGACCTAGATGCCTAAGTTTCCGTTATAGTTATTGCAGCCTAAAAGAGCTATGAGCCAGAGGTGCTGGATTTAGCTGCTTCAACTGAGGTATGCCTTAATGCCATCTGAGATGCTCCATGGCATCGGAAACACTCATACGTAGTTGACAGAACTGAAACAAGACCTCTGAGAGATCAGCATCCTTCAGGAGCAGCAGCTGGAGACCACAGTATTTCCAAGCATCTCAGATGGCACTGCATATCTATGGACAAGGAACTGAATAAAATTTTAGGTGTTTACTTTAGGGTGAGCTAAATGACTCAAGGATCCATAGATGACATTTATTGATTATAATGGAAGATCAGACATTAGGCTCATATGTAATCTACACACAGGCAGCTTCCCAGTCTCAGGGTGGTAAACCAGATGGAGAGAACTGTGTTCCAAGGAACATTTGTGGAAGAAAAATGCTTTTTTTTCTATCTAAATTTATGCAAAGACTACTGATGTATTTTTAGTTGTAAATATCCTAAGTTCCCCTGCTCTTCCTATGGAGAGAGTGAATTTATCAGGGATGTAAAATACTAGATGTGAGTTCAACTAAGGGGTTACATGGTAATTTCTAGAATCGTTATCTGTATCTTCATGAGCAACAGTCTGGGAAAAAGCTGTGAAATCAAATTCAAGAAGCAACTAAAATTTTCACTGGTGGAAGAAGTCAAATTAAGTGTGACTTAGTAGCAAAAAACTTCCAATACAAAAAAACCCCAAATATCAGGGAGAACAGCACATTCAGTGCTCATGGAGAAAAGGAAATAATTTTACATGAACTAGGTTCTTCATGCAACCACTGTTGCCTGTAGTATTTCTACAGTAGCTGATTCTACTGACTATTGCATGGAAGCAGTAATTCATTCCAGGGTTACAAATTACCTGTTCTGTGTGACAGTTGTTATCTCACCAAGTTTGACGTATCTGGCAGAGAGGGGTGAGGACATAATTTGACCACAGACACTTCAGTCGTTCTATTGTAACCCAGGCCCAGAAAGCATTATGACTTAACAAAAACTCCTGGGGAAAACAAAGTATTTTTCATGTTGCCTCTGTGAAATACAGCTTTTCTCCAGGGAACTTCAGTTATACTTTGCCTTTGTATACGTGCAAGTAAAACGCAAATAATGCAAGATCATTTAATACAGCACCAGATCATAAGCAAAGCTGTGAAATTGCTGCTCTTCAGTGGCAGTGGATGGTAGATGTTGCCAAGAACTATGTCCAGTGTCCAGTCTGGACTTGAATTTGAGCATGGAGACTGGTAACCTTGGAAGAAAGTGACTGTACTTCTGGTCACAGTTCAGTTTCTTGTGTCAGACTTAGGTCGACCACTCTGTAAAATGGGGGAAAGAGAGATATACTGTACCAAACATCCCACTCACCAGTATAGATCCAACTGGAATTCAGAAGCAGCGATGGCACTGAGAGATGACAATAGCAGAGAGACTTTTCAGAGACTGACTTCGGTGTTTCACACATCGGTTGCCGTTTAGCCAGCCGAGAGCACCCACTGACAGTTCTCTCACAGCATGCCAGACAAATGCAACACAGAAACTGAAAACAGTCAGCATCTTAAATGAAAGTCAACGACCATTAACTCGTTAAGTCAGATTAAGTCTGCACAGAATTGGCAGAATAAATTGTGTGTGTGTGAGTATCAAAGACATAATTAAGGTATTTGTAAAAAGGGCAGGAGGAATTACCAGTCACCAGGACACGATCCGTTTTCCTCCTTTTACCCAGGTCCTTTTAACAAGGGGACAGCTTCAGATAAAGCAAAATGAGTGTGTATAAGGAGTCAAGATCTAGGCTAAGAAGAAATATTATAGTAAAAAAAAGTGTGTTGGACTTAAACTAGTGTAGCTTTTTTCATACCAGTTAGCACCACTCATTCTCCTGTTCTGACTCTCAAGAGCGTTCACCAACCCTAGTTCTGTCCATTCCATGGCAACCTTACTTTTGTTGTAATGCTTCCAAAAATGCTCTTTTGTTAGAACAACATACTTGCTCATAAAATAGCTGAGTCTATATGCTGCATACAGTCGTAACTGTGTCCCCTACTAATGACAAAAAGGTAACTTTAAAACAGTTTTAAACCAGACATTGATGTTGGCTTTGCTTTAGGTAGAGGACAAGAACACCTGGGGAAAATTGTGGCCATTATACAAACAAATACAGTATGCTCCAGCAAAATGTCAATTAGAAGCATCATTGTGCTAAATGAAGATGCTCAATTTTCACTCTAGAAACTGTACCCAACTCTCTCTGTGAACCTATGGAGACTTTAAACCGACTTTGTTGCTTGCTGTTTGTATTTGAAGCAACAAGGTCAACCCTAATCTGACTCCTGTTCCTTGTATTTTCAGTGAACAATTATACACTGCTGATAAATTTTTCCTAAGTATCTTTTTCTCTTTACTCACAAAAGACAACCAATTCATGTTATTTATACAATTTCTCTTAAGATACTCTCTTAATTCTACACTGCTATTTCAAATTTCTGTTAGAACCAGGAACAGCAGTCATTCCATATTGCTGATATTAACATTCTTGATTTCATTTTGTAGGGATTTGAGTGACTCAGCATCACATTCCTCACGATTAGGAAACGTTTTGCAATTTCATTTTATGATGTATCAATAAAACTTTATTTTTCCCTTAATGTGCCCTTCTGAGATGAGCTTGCCATAAAACACATTCATGTGCTGCTGATTTAGCCATAGTTCTCTTGCTGATTTTTTCCATTGCTCAAGACACTTATCATTAATGTAAACACCATCAACTCTTACTCCTACCTCAGCTAAGAATCTGACTGAAAAGCAAAGACTGGAATCAATTTCTAATTTAGGAAGAAAATAACTGCTTGGGAAGAAAATAACTTGAGGGGAAAAAAATAATCAACAGCAACAGCCACTGCAATTACTGCATGAAATTAAGACATTTACAAGTGCAAGAAGAACAGACTGCAGCTTATTTAAGATGGTCAGGTGTTCTAGTTAAAAAATATTGGGGTTGTTCCTTCTAAATTTTGTACCAGTTTAATCAAAGCCAATGTAGACATATGACTACACCCGCTCCCTTTTGTCAGCACCTGCAGAACCACTTCTACCCCATTTCCTCTTGACAGAGTCAGAGATTGCTTCTGTCTGTTTCATTGTGCAGTTAAGTGGCTGATCTGTCTTCCTCAGTACCTTTTCAGCATCCTTTTGTTCTAATGTATCTCCAGAGCACCTGGGTCCAAGAGAAAATAAGAAAGGGAAGGCAAAGAGAGGTGCTAGTGGGTGATGGGTAATGCCAAGAGAAAGCAAGTTCCATGCAAATTAAGAGAAACTGATGCAAATATATCGCAGAGTGAATTAGGCTGGATATGGAAGCTTAGCAGAACATGGGTAAAGATTTGAACTTTAGTCCCTGCTCCCAGGGACTGCTATATAATTCTCAATCACCACCTAATGACAAACAACAACTCTTATTGACAGCAGTCTAAAGCTATGGCCTTTGAATCTTCTCAGGCAGAGAAGGGCACTGAGCTGAGGCTCCCATACTTTGAGCAAGTGCTCTAACACTGACCTAAAGAAGAAAAAAAGAATGTGCTGCCAGTTTCGAAAGCAGTTATACATATTATGGAAAACCAAACCTGAACTCTGGAACTACTTCTTAAGACTTCAGAGGTGAAAGAGAGGCGGCAATACCTAGTTTGGCTCATCCTAGCAGGGCCTATGCTCTAAGCTGCTTTGCCCTGTCAAGACTGAGGTGCTTTCCGGACATGCTGAAGACCTTCTGTTACCTTGGGAACTTTAAAGTTCAATATTAAAGGAAATATAGTAACGTTTATGGACAGCTGAGTTGAGATCTTGAAGATTTAATTTGGATTTATGTGTCTGCAATCCCCTAAATAATTTCTTTTGCATCTCAGTTCATGATGATACAAGAAGTCTACTTTAAATTCTTTGGGTCTTTGATGCAACTAAGATTGCAATTGTTCCTACCCTTTTTTAGGCTTTGGACTGGCAGCTTTCCATGCAGTCAGATACCTGTGGGCCAGGCAGAGCTTTACTGATGTTTCTGAGCCAGTTTTCAGAATGCGCACCATATATCTTATATATTGATCACGAATAATAGAAATATACAGACCTGTTTTCACTTTGAAGAAGCCTAAGGTTAAAAATAGCAAAATTTGCTTTATGTAACAGACCAAGAATTAAATTCAGGCTCTTTTCTGCATGCTCTCTAACAGCAATAACACATCGAAGATTCACTCATTGGCTCATATATCAAGACACATTGTCTCAATTGTAAGTGCTTTTCACAAGATGGCCTTAAAATAGAACACTGTTTCCGATTTATTCAGAAAAAATAAAAAGAGGATGAAAAATCCCATTTGTAAACAATATTAAAATTATTTGGAGGGCCAAACAGAAAAGCCAGCATTTAATTTTAAAATAAAGCTAGAATTTAAAGGAAGATAAACCAAAAAGGTTTACACTTAAATTTTATTTAGCATTCACTTTCATATAATATTTGCCCAGTGATTAACATCGATGAGTTAAAGTGTATTCCAATATCAGTGAAAGAATGTGTTTTTTTTTGTCTTGCAGAAGAAACACTCAAAGGTTAGCAACTGTAATTCAAGGTCAAAATTTCTCCTGAGTCTTGTTCTCTTCACATAGGAGCTGGTTTAAAACACTGCTCTGTTTGAGAGCTTTTAGATTGGATACATCTTCGCTTACAACAGGGACATCTTCACTTTGATCCTCAGTTATCAGATCTTCACTGTCTGACAGCGTACACAGGAGTGTATCATTTTCATAGGTAGGAAAATAATACCTGAAAGCAACAAGGCATAATTACTAGATAGTGACATATTTTGTCTGAAAGAGGTTGAGCATATTATATGAGATTAGATTTTAAAAAACGGAAAAATGAGAAAGTCTGGTTGTCTGGAGTGACAGTAAACAGCACACCCAAAAATCAACTGGCATGTACATCTTAGAAGCGTCATACAGATGGGTTGGCAACAGACAAGTCCTTCTCCCTATTTCTTCACCTGTATGTTGTCACAGCTGAGGCCACAGATCCAGATTTGTCTCACAACAAATGCTGAACTGAGATGTTTGAGTTAGAACACTCCCTGTGTTTCACCACCTGTGGCATCATCCCCCAGGCATATTCAGCCTCCCTACAATCTGAACCGGTGTTATGTTACGCGCTCTCTCTATATGCTATGAGAAAACTAAAGGTAAACGACCAACTTGTTTTGATTCCTAAAGTTAGGTGGACATTATGCACGTATCTATATGAGACAGGAAAAATAAGTGGTTTGGTTTGGTTCTAGATCCGAATGCCCCAAGCACATCTTTACTAGCAATGAAATGTGTGCCCGATACCTGTCCCAGGCATGATCTGCATCTGTGTAGAGAGCTAATGGCTGGAAGAATCTTGTGCCTACAAGTGGGGCATTTGAGATGTCACGTTGGTGCACAGATTCAACCTTGACTCCACCAGTGAAAGTGCTCTGAGTGCACCGCGTATGCCTTTCACCGTTCACTGTACAACTGCAAATACAGGCAAAAGGCAATTTTGCAACAATAAACTTCTCTAGCATACTAGTTGCAGACACAATTTATGAGGATAGTGCATCCTGGATACAAATAGAAGAGCAGTATCACATGTTCATTTTAGCTGCAGACAGTGCAGGGATTTATAATTCTGAGTAGTTTTGAGAGACTTCTTATTTTTTCTGGGACAGTAGAGCTGGGGAGCTGAGGACACTGTTGCACTGGCAAAATCCAGAAGTTTCAACTTACTGTTTTACAGACATTATCAAATAACAGTACAAATGCTGGAGGAAACACATGTGCCCTTACTGTGGTTGATCCCATGTAGACCTGGCTGGCAGGAATGTAATGTGTTTGGTCTCTTCCATATGATTTATCAATCCTCCTTTAGACTGAAATTTCTCCTGGCAGTTGTAACAACGACAGTGATGGATTTCTCTTCTGATGAAGTTCACTAGCTTTACTTGCTGATAAAAGTTCAGACCTGGGAGAGATGGTAGCGAACAAGCACTTGAGGAACATGAGACTTAATTTACAAATGTTTTCTTGGACTAAGCATAAATACTGATCAAGGTTTACTGGAGACTTGCACTGCCTGAATGCTGTAACTTGGTAAATTAACTGAACAAATGCTTTTTCCCAGCTGCAGGAGAACTAGCCCTTCTTTTAACGTAAAAATTGCAAATACCTTGCTTCCTCTCAGTCTATAGCAGGAAGCAAACCTTGGCCAAACACAGCTTAGAGCACAGCCTTCTAAGTTGCAAGCAAGTCTTAATGGGCATAATAATAATAACAACAACTGTAATACTACTAACAAGACTAACAAGAACAACAACAATAGTAATAATTCTTCCAGGGCTCCACAGGCATAATAATAATAACAACAACAGTAATACTACTAACAAGACTAACAACAACGACAACAATAGTAATAATTCTTCCAGGGCTCCAGCAGCCAGACCTGAGACTCATAGAGTGGGTATTTGCAGCTACTCTGCAAAAGAATCCAATGGTTTTAAAGAAAATAGCACATGTCTTTGGCACTAACAACAGTTCCAGAAAAATAAAGTGTTCTTGGCATTCTTTCGTAAGCTGGCAGAAACAGTTTCCATAATGGAAAAGTTAAATGTCTAAACAAAAATCAAATTGATACAGTTGTTTTCCAGTATTCTTATGATGTGGTTTTCTCCACACTAATGGCAAATGCTGACAATTACAGTATCTCTTACTCACCATGCTCTGACTTTATTTTAAGAAAGTCAAATCCATGTGATTTCTGGAGGGGGAAAAAAAAGAAAAAGGAAAGAATAAAATATCTTATTTCCACTATTTCTACTATTCCAAGTTAAAAATAGTTCAGCTTTTCATAGACTGACACAGACATGCATATAGACATGCAAGCACTAGTACATGAAAAAACACCCCGAAGTTTTGTTTCATCAAAAACTTTTGAATTCTGTTAAACTGCAACGCTCCTGTTAAATAGTTTATTAAAACTGAAACACAGATGCTAAACATCTAATGTATTAAATCATCAAGTTGTTATAATATTAAAGATGCTACCTCTTTATTGTCTGTACACTCATTTCGTGGTTTAACTGCAACAACTCACAAGTAATAGCTGGTCACACTCTCAGTGTAAAAATTGACTCCACTGCATATTTCAGAGAACAGATGCTGGAGATGCATGCAGCACTTCAGTTCTGTGCTAAAGAGGGCATTCTAATGCAGCAGCTGATTTGATCTTAACAAAGATGCTACAATCCTACTTTTTAATTCCAAAGTGATGCAAGAACTGATATCTAAAACAAGTCTTACCTGCATGTGAAGATACAGTTTTTCTGTGGTGTCCGCTTGTTGTTCACAGAACAGGCAAACCGCACACACAGGATGGTCTTCCCAGTCAGACCAGTCTCTTATGATTCAGAGTCAAAAAGATTCATTTAATTGTGGAAAAGAGAAGAGACATTTTGTGAAAGGGCACTTCAGATTCTGCACGCACAGCACCAGAAATAAATCCAGAAAAACAGAATACTTTAAAGGGGTGGAAGAGACAGTGTGGATTTATAGCTGGATATATCATTAGAATCTGGTTTACAGTCTAAAAAAATGACGAATTCAAGAATAACTAAGCAGTTACTGTTGGGTAATTCCTGTGCAGATAGGCAGTAAGTCCTACTTGAATTTTCCTGCACTAACAAACAGGATCTTAACTTCAGTTTCTATCCAGTTTGGCAAGTCATCAAATACTGCATTCAGTGTTTATTTTTATAAGGTCTTTTCAAATTCTTTTATACCTTTCTAATCTTTCAATACACCAGCCAAAGACATAATCATCAGGCAGAGTTCACTCAAAGTGTTATTTACTTATCAAATATTGTTATTCCTGAAAGAGACACTCATGCTATTTCTAGATATGTACACAGAGAAAAAATACTTTACCAACACATCCATTTAGATCCACAAGGCTGCCGAGCGATAGAAGTATTACTGCAACTAGGTATAACCAAGTAAAATTAAGCTCAAGTCACAGACAGAACCAGGAAGGTCAGGGGCCCTGATACCCACAAATTACCTCCTGCTTATTTAATCCTCTACAGCCAAGGAAGCCACCTCTGCAGTGATCTGAGGGCCTGGACCACAGATGACCACAGAGGAGAGGCAAATGTCACCTCAGTCAGCACCACTGAGAAGTTTCCTTCAAAATCCTGCTTTAATCTCTAGCTGTTACGTTTTTATCAGACTTTTTTGTACCATTTTTTTCTCATGTTGACATTTTTGATGCTTACTCTTGACTTTTAAATTTGAACAAAATCACTCAATCGTTTTTAGTACAAAAGTAAAAAATGTTTTGCCTACATGATTACAAACTGAAAAGGCTCTTGTTTATGCACACGAAAAATAGGCTTGTGGTTGAAATATGAAATTTTACAGCCCTCATTGTGGAGAACTGTCTTTGATGAGAACAATTTGGAGTTGATTTGACCGGCTTAAATGAATTTTAACTGTGTACTAGCTATGCACAGCATTTTCCTTTAACTACTTTCAACAATAATGGTCTTGCAGGTCTTTATAATGGGCACGTAAGTAACTCTTACTCTTCTAGGTTATCTAGTAATTCCCGGTCATCCTCTGACTGCACTTCCTCCCAAGACTTTCCAAATTCCTGAGGAAAAAAAAAAGAAAAGAAAAAACATTTCCTGATTCGCATCACATTTTAAATAACAACTGAATGAACATCTGGAAAGTCATAATCAACATCTTATTTTGAATCACGTTGGTATTTCTGTGAATTAAAGGTAGTCATACAACACTACTCTAGTAATAATTTTTAAAATAAAAATTCATTTTGTTTTTCAGTGAGGCATTCCCCACGCTACATCTGGGAAAGAAGATGATTTGGCACAGAGCTCTCAAGAAGAGCATTCGTGCTCTGTGTAAAACTAGAGTGTAGCAACACTACCAAGATGTTCCCAAGGTGAGTATGTTACCACTGTCTCAAGTTTGCCATCACATTTGCTCAATCCAATCTGCCTACCTTGCTGTTCATGCAGCATATTCTGCTTAAACAATGCAGACCTAAGGCTTTAGCTGGCACTGCTACACCAGCCAGCGCTTGTACCTTCTACAAGGTTATGTCAGTAAAAGCACATGCTGTAAACCAGAAAGGCAGTATGGGCCAGGGCATAGATCTCTGAGCTAGACTCCAGTTTCTCCTCCATCCCTTTCTCAGATGTGAATGTAAGCACCTCTATTCATGGTGTTCTGTTCTTCCTTTTACTTTTTGTCTTATTTATTTATATCTTAAAGACCTTCAGCACAATGTATATCACAATACATTTGTGCAGTGTTCAGCATAATGGCAAGACTCTCAGCTTGACTGTGATATAAATAACAGGCAACAAAAAGCTGAAGCACTCTACTGAAATACCAGCAGTGATCTCTAGTTAGTGTTTTTCTTTCCTCCAATTATTCCTGCCTTTAAAAATAAACCAGAGCCAACTAACCAGTAATCAAAATAGTATTTTGGAACTCATACTTTTGACAGCTGTGAAGGATTCACAAAGATCATAGTTGATGATCTTGTCTCCATTAAAACAAAGGCAGCTAATAAAAAGATCATTTCTTCATTTATTTCATTCAAATATTCCTTCTGATAAATATATTTAATAACATCCTTAGTAACAAGTGCTATTGGCCAAAAGATATTCGAAAAAGAACCAAAAGATATCCATCATCTAACAAATTAATGAGAATTTTCAAAGCTGTTAGTGTCTATCAGGTAAACAATAAGCAAATGTCTCTAGATAGCTCTAAACATAATGTCATCATATATTACAGAAAAAAAATTCAGTAATTAATTCAGTGATGCTACATGGTAGTGTGTAAACTCTCTGAATTACAGGGGAGACTCATTAATGTCACCATTACTGTGAGATAACATGAAGCCATTAACACCTCTCACCACATGTTCTCCCAGCTGCACACTAGTTTCCTATGGGTACGAATGTTAACACCTTAATGAGAGGATAGTGGCTCACAACCACTGCAAAATGAAGATGAATGCTCACAATTTTTCCCCTTACTAGCTTGACGTATACGTGCACAAAACAGTACGTTCAAAACAGCAGCCAGTATTTAGCTTCACCTTTTAGTTAAAGGTGAAGGGGGAAAACCATGCACAAGCTTTGTTATTGTTGCTGTTTCTTTCGGGTGTTTCTGTAAGAAGGCAGAGAAGGATCTTGTAAGAGGTCTCTGTTTCCCTCACCTATTTATATTCAGAAGAAAAAAAAGGAAAAAGCTAATCAGGACTTGTATCACTGGAAAATTGCATGGCAAATGGATAACTAGAGACACTGTGATGAAAGTGCTGAGGCTGAAGGTGAGCAACTGGGTGGGAAAGAG